GCCCTCATTCTGCAACTATACAGAGGCCAGCAAAGAGCTGTGTCTTTTAAACAAAATACTCTATCACCCACATCACTTAGAAAATTCCAAAAGAGTTAGCTGCTCTTTTCTAAAATCCCAGGAAAAGACCAAACATTTTATGACATCACATGAGAGAACAGATGCTTATTGTGGTAGAGTCCCTTATGCAGATCACACAGCCTGCGGGTGGGCTCAGGAATGTCAGGTATTGTCCATGGGCACTTTATGTAGGTGCTTTATTTTATTAAGTTTCCTTTTATACCAGAGGGACTAAAAGTTAAACACTACCTTCTCCCCACTCCTGTTGATTGAGAATCCAGATGTGAATTAGATGCGGTTTCTGAGGTGCACTGTTTCATAATTTAGAAGCTGGACCTGAGAGATGGAACCATTATTTCTGCTGCTGAGGTGACTGATGGGTGGGAAGCATCAGACACAGGTGTATGTGAATAAGCAGGTATTTCTGTCCCTATGGGTGGGACTGTGGCCCTGGGACCTTGAGACCAGACTCCAGGGATAACTCCCTAACTTCCATTCCTTTAGATATTCATGGTTTTACAATCACTGTTTTTTTGCATTAAAGACTTTTCTGCACAAAATTCATGGCAGGGTTATTTGTAGGAGCCCAAAACTGGAAACAACACAAGTGTCCATAAAAGGGCAAATAGGTAAAAAAAAAAATAATGAATCCCTGGTATAAGATATAACTAGAGAATAAAAAGAAATAACTATGACAAAATAGCCAAAACTGGCCTCAAATTAAATACCTTATGATAAAAATTTTGAAAATTCCAGAAAGTGCCAATGAATTTATAATGGAAAAAAAAACTGAAGAGAATTCTCTTAACACTAAAAAAGAAGGTGGGGAGGTGAGGAAAAAGGAGATTAAAAGAGGGCATGAGAAGATTTTATTAGGAAGGGACATGGTCTTTATTTTCATTGTACAATTTCTCTGGTTCATGCATCTGAAAACACTTCATAAATTGCATACTTTCAATATGTTAAGCTCAATATATTCAACTATAATTCAATAACTATATTAAAATTGCATATACATCTATGAAATATTGCCTAAAGGATAAGTTGAATACAAAGTTCAAAACAAACAAAAAAACCCCAACAAGATACCTGACTGTAACATGACATTTTCTTGCCCATGTTTCTACTTGTCCACAGGAGGTAGCAGAATTACTCTGAAGAAGGAGCCTTTCTGGGGCACCACTGACTATATCTCAGCAGCACCCATAGTGCAGCAGGGGACCAACCTCAACAGCATCACTCATTCCACAATTTTTCTAACTCTTCAAGCTCACACAATGAACTCTGTCTACTCTTTCATCTAGTCGAGCATAACCCCTGCAAAGGTCAGTCTTCTGAGGAAGCCTTTTTTTTTAACACCCCCCTGTTCTTTATGGAATAAATGTTCACTAACTCTCCAGATTTCAGTCAAGAAGTTACTTTCTCAGAAGTGCTCTTCATGCTGCCCAGACCAGCTAAGAGTCAATACATACTCTGGAGAGACCAGAAGTTTTGTTTTGAGGCCCTTCCATGGATTATGATTAAGTTCCTAGACCCATGATTACCTGACAGCCTGTCTGTGTTACAAGGTAAAGTCAATGAGCACAGGGCCCACACTTGTCTTATTCTGTTTGGAGTTTCCAGGGCCCAGCCAGGAGCCTGACACATGACAGATGCTCTGTGAACACACATTGAATCAATAAGGGAAACTGCCCAGTTGGAAGCCTGTCACTCCATGTGACACGGGGTCAAATTAATTTACTTATACACACAAAGGCATGAAAAGAGGCCACCTCCCTCTAGGGGACATCCTAGGGTCAGGCTTTTATTTCTCATACATTCGGTAGGAATGAAAGGGACCTCCTAACAGTGGGGACAAGACTGTATTTCTCCAAAATCACAGTCCCCCTGGTCCCACCTTAGGAGTTATGTCTCATCACCCAGGACCTCACAGATAACTGTTCTCGCAGATAGCTGACCAGACAAAAACTCTGGATCCTCAACCCCTAGTACAGTTACTCCAAAAGGAGGAAAGAGCACACCCTGACCTTGTAAGAATCAGGGAAGACTTTTCATTCTCAAAATTTCTAGTCTGGGGGACACCTGCCCGTTGTCTTTGAAGGAATGATTCTAGTTCCTGATGTCCTGGGGAAACTCACTGTGCAGAATGGGACAGGAGAACCCAAATCTGTGGCTGGTTCTATCTCAGATGTGCTAAGGGTTCTATAAGAATCCCTGTTCCCCTAACAAAAGATTATATAGGGCCCCTGGTTCAGTTTTTGTTCATGTGGGAATGCTTCTGCTCATGGGCCCTGTGGGCAGACAGGGGCACAGAAATGACTTGTATGCAAAATTCCAATGTAGTGATGGCAAACACACGGGACATATTTTGGATGGACTTTCCAGACCAGCGCTCTCTTCCAAAAGCCTCAGGAAAACCTTCACCAGGCTCTTGTTTTGGATACTTGAAAGCAGAGAGTTGTCTGACTCAGCACATGCTGCTAGTGGGACGTTTCTCCTGACATTGGGCTCATAATATTCAGGACAATGCCAGGCTTTTCACTGGGTTCACCCTGTAGTGGTCAGTGACCTTGTGCAGCACCTGACGTTGGCTGCAGGTATACTTCTGTCCTCTAGGCAGCAGTATTGAGATTCACAGGAAATAGACACAGGAACCCGGCTTTGACTAAGATGGAGAAGTAGCCTGATTTTCATCCCCTGCTTCAACAGGCCTTTCTTGGATCCTCCCTCATGGCTGCTCTGTGGAACCTGCTACTTCTAGACACTGTTAACACGGGCTGCTTGGTAGCACTGACAAGCTCAAGGGGCCACATGGCAGGCTGACAACCCTCACAGGATATTTTCATCAGAAATTTCTAACTTGGCAGGTTGCCATATCCCAGGACTATATTTTCCTTAAGAAAGGTCAGTCTTTAATTGAACACTGACCCATTTTTAGAGAGCATAACTTTGCATCTGTGCATCTTAGAGAGCATAACTTTGACACATCAGGGTGATTTTCTTCACTGCACCATTCACGTTACAGAGTCTGGGGCAAATGTACTAGACCACAGCACTCTTTACATTATTTGGTCCCCTGCACACATTCTCTGTGTCCTTTTAAATGCTAATAATTGTCTACCTACCAATGTAAAAAATATATGTGCCTCCATTTTTGCCTTTTTTCCCATTCTGATGATTTCTCTGTTTTCTTTTACCTCCTTCTGAATTTTATCCAAATTTTATCGTGCTGTCCTTTGATAATAATGTATAAAATAAGCTAAAAAACTGCCTCTCTTAAAAGGATTTGAGTCATTTCTCCAAGGCATATGTGGTCAGTTTGGCTCTGATAAACTCATTACATTGCTATACAAGCTTGGCTGGGTTTTTTTGTTTGCTTGTTTGTTTGTTTGTTTGTTTGTTTTGTTTTACATTGTAAGAGTCTAGTAGCACATCTTCTCTCGTGTGTTTCAGTGCTGCCTCTCTACTCCATGTCTGGCATCATCCATGCCCAAGTTTGGTTATGACAAGGAATCTGCCCAGGGATAACTCAGAGGTTGTCCCAAAAGCCAGCAGCACAAGGACCAATCCTACAAACAGACTTGGAGAGGAAAGATCAACCTGAAACTATCTCTTGAGAACCAGGAAGCCCATAGTCACCAGACCTTTCACCACAGTCCCTTCTTCCTGGGACACAGAGGACACCTCTCATTTCATACCCAAAACTGCATGTTCTCCTGAAAATTCTGGTTTTGAGATTTTATCCCTGGAAGAAAAAGCCATTTTGGTGACAACTTGAGATAGAAGAAGGGTCCCCTCCACAATTATCACCAAGCTTGACCACTTCTCATTCCCAGAGTTATTTCTGTTACCTTCATGTGGGAAAAAAAAAACCCAGAGAGCTTTTGAGAACATGGGGAAGACCTAGTACCCAGCTGGGTTTCTGTGTCACAAACAAATAATCCCCCTTTTTGATGACATCTGGGGCTCTTTATATGGTGATGACAGACCCAAGCTAAAGACACAGCAGAGGCCAATGCTGGCATTAGTGTGTTATCCTCTGAAGACACCTGTGTCCCCATCTGCCTTGCTATTGCAAGTGAGCTCCACAGGTCATAATTAAATCAAACTCCCTTCAGAACCTGTCAGATACAGAGTCTCTGGTCCCCTGAACCTAAACTGCAGAATCTGCAGTTTATCAGCATCTGGATACTTCCCCTGTGTACAGGAGAACAGGAGAGGTGCTTCTAATTTCACATCAAAAGATTTCACTCTGAATGAGCACCCACATTAGCTGGACAGCTGCTTAAGCTGTATTTTTAAGAATAGCAATGGGCATAGCAATGTTACAATGTTTCACAGGTGATCTGACGCACAATAAGAGTGACTTCCTAATGACAGTTTTCAGTGACTTAGTTCAGGAACTACTACTATGAAGGGAAGAGTCAAGTGTGTGTGTGTGTGTGTGTGTGTGTGTGTGTGTGTGTGTGTGTGTGTGTGTGTGTAAGAGAGAGAGAGAGAGAGAGCTGTGAGAGAGACTACTGGGCATCTGACAGGAAGCTGTGGAGAAACCCCTGACTGCAGAAACCACAGGTTTGTGCTTTTCCAAAATCAACATGATATTGTGTGTATGTGTGTGTGTTTATGCATGCGTGCATGTGTTTGTGTGTGTGTTCGTTTGGTGTTGAGAGGCCTCAGGAGTTCACAGGGAATAAAGTTATAAGAGGGCAGTACTGGTTAGAAGGGAAAACGGTGGCAAAAACCAGAGCAGGGAGCAGGATGGTAATGTGCATTCTTTTTGCCTCCAGCCCGCATGACAAGATTGATAAACTTTCTCCAGAATAAAGCTCAGAGCACAGGTAGGACAGCAGACTGCACCATTCTAGACAGCCGTGCCTGTGAGCCTTACAGAAACTCAAGCTTCTCTCAAAAAGGCAGCCACTGAGCAGACAACATACACCATGGGATTCCTGTCAGTCTCTACCCACAGAGGACTTGTCCACTGGCAAGGGCTCCTGCTGGTTGGTAAGTAGGAGTCAATTCCTTGGGGTAGCCTAAGGATCTGACACAGAGACTGGCTGGGATCTGCTGGAGAGACCAGTGCTCTGAGAAAAGAGTGAAGGCTTCTGATTGGACCTAAGTGTAAAGGACCAAAGGGAAAAATAGCATGGGGAAGGGGGATCAGCAAGAGGAAAATGTCACCATCTGGAAGTGGTAAGAATCAGGAAAATGTGGATTGTTTATTCTGGTTATTCATCACTGAATATTGGCTTATGAAAGCTGGTAACAATAATAATGACTTATGTCAGGAAACACCAGAAAATTAAACCAGGGGTGCTAGGCATTTTCTTTACTGCAAACCCCAGAAATGGGCAAATTAGCCCCAGGAGGTACAAGACTCATTCATTCAACCCCATGTATTTTCAAACTTTTATAATCCCTGGAGGTACTAGGTCAGACAATCCCTGCCCTCAGAAAGCTCATTTTCTATGGAGAAAAAAGGGGCAACTAAATGTGTAGGTGTGAGGTCAGGTACCCACAACAGACATAAAAAAAGGAGAACAGGATAGGTCAGAAAGTGAAGGAAAAGAATCTTTAGAGAAGGTGGTCAGCAGACATGCCTTTCAAAATTGCCCTTGAGTTTCAGAAGGTATCTAATCATAGTGAGGAAGTGACCAAGACAAACACCTGGAGAAAAGTATTTAAAACAGAAAAATAACAGTGTCTAGGTGCTGAAGGATTGGGACCATGCTGTAGACCTTGACCATGGGACACACACACTCACCTGCAGACCAAGGCTGAGAGATAAAGAGACCCACTCAGGATTCAGGACTTCATCTTTCTGTGCCAATAAAATAGATGCAAACATTGATGTATTTTTTTCTTATTTCCTAGTTTCGCTCTTAGCCTTCTGGAGCCAACCCACCACAGCCGAAATCAGTATTGTGTCGACCTATGCTGCTGAAGGAAACGATGCAGTTCTGCATATCCGCAATAAGCTTCCTGAGATTGTAGGCATTGTGTGGTACAAGGGAAAAGGGGAGGACCAAAATAATTTAATCACATTTTTTATTGCGAAATCAAGTTTGCATTTAAGTGGTCCTAAAAACAAAGGACGACAGGTATTAACTGAAGATGGATCCTTGTTATTGAAGAAGGTCACCAAGATGGATGCAGGAATATACACCATAGTGGCTCACTTTCCAGATTCAGAAACAGAAATAGGATTTGGAGAACTTGATGTATATGGTGAGTGATTGCTCTTCGATGACTGGGGGTTGGGTGGGGTGACCCCCTACTTCACACACAGGACTGACAGCCCTGGACACTACCTCCATTCCACTCTGAATTTTGTTTCAGGTTCAGTTTTGACATTTAATGCAGGATACAGAGAGTGTAGACAAACTTCTTAAGATTTCAGTTCCCTTCCCAACTTGCAGCCCTGCAGAAAGTCACTGCAGACAGAAGGGTCAGGCTGATGAGAGTAATTCATCAAAGGGAAACCAGTCTCGGTTCAGTCCCATGAGCATGTTCCTATGAACTTGACCTGAAGCTGATTCTGCTATACCAGGTCAGAGCATGGTATGAGAAGAATCCCGATATTCATACATAGCTCACATCAGAAACCCATTCCCAGAGCCCTGTGCAAGGTTACTTGACTCCAGGGGTGCAAGGCAGCATGTGCCAATTTGGGTTTGGGGTCCTTGAAATTGATGAGTGTGTAATGGTTTAATGGGTGCCTGAGTCACAAAGCTCCTGAGCCTGTCACCAGTCCTGGCTCAGGCCCAAGAGCCATATCTTGGCAAAAATAGAATTCAGTATCATCTGGGTCTGTGTGTGGAGAACAAAGACAATGTCTGTGGATATTGCTGACTATCCTGGGGGACTTAGGAAGGTTCAGAAAAAGGTCAGCATCTTCAGAAAGAAACTGAAAAAGAAGGATGCTTCTTGAAGGTTCACATTCAACAGGGATCAGCCCAGAACAATAAGAGATCTCAGAGTTGATCAATAAGAGATGTTTTCTTTGAGCAGCTCTTGTTTTAAAGGATTTAGGTCATATAGTAACAATATTTACAGTTAATATACTGACAACCTTTTTTAATGAGAATAAACTGAGGAACAAGGAGATACAGTCACTACAGCAGAGTCACACAGAATATGAGCAGCTCACCGGAGTAACCCTTGGGCTTACTGTAGCTATAGACTTAATTTCTCTATCGTGGGGACCATAGAAGAGTATCTTTGGATTCTAAACAAAAAAATGGTTGAGAAACTTTTTTTATTAAGTGCCCTTAGCTCACAGGGGTACAATTTGGTATGTGGGGTAAAAAAAATGGAGACATAATCTATTTTTACTCTAGAACTAAACTACCTGCAAAAACAATCAGAATCACTACATAGATTACCCAGGCATCCCCCTCAGGTGGCCTATTTATACCTCCTGGCACTGGATTCGACATCACTTATTTCTTTCCTGTTTGGTGCAGTCTCTCCTGACAGATATAAATGAAAGGACTTTGTCTTCTCACTCCCCACTCTACCCCTGAAACCAGATCATGGACCAATAAGTAACAAAGACTTAGTTGTTGTTGATGAATTAGGAAGAAATAAATGGAAAATGAGTGAGTGAAATAAATCAATGATTCAAAATCACTTCTGAGCCTGGAACCTAGATACAGAGTCCTTTATGTTCTGGCTATGAGGGACAGGCTTTCTGTGCCTGCAGGAACTAAGAACATAATCTCATACTCTTTCCTTTTTTTTTTCATAAGAAAATAGTTTTTCTAGCAATTAGTCTTAGGCCATAGGGTATTAATCATCATTTCACACTCAGAATAATTTAAAATCTTTCCACATTTCTATCTCATGGGCACCTTATAAAATTGCCACATGCACCAGAATTTCAGGACATCAGTGCTCCCCATTTGCTGTAAGTCGCTCATTTTCCACTTATACAAGTTCTCACCTGCCATCAGGGGAGAGAGAATAACTTGAATGGCCAAGGGCAGAGCACATGATTCTGTTGCTATTATCAGCTATCTTGCTTCTGGACTTTATGTTTTGTTTTGCTCAAACCCCAGTATCTAGCATGTCTTGGAAATGGTGCCTCATAGAAACACTCCTCGGCTAGGTGACGGAAGTCTGCGAAGTTTCAAAAAAGAGCTTCTGGCCAACGAGGAAGTCAGGTGGTGTGGAGAATGTTGTGTTAGCTCTGGGCTGTTATGTATGCCTTTTATTTTTTTTATTTATTTTTTATTTTTTTGGAAAAATATTTAATGACATGAGATAAAATATTTAATTAATGGCATGAAATAATACTTTTTAAATATATAAGTGAAAAGTAGGCTAGGAAGATACATTTATAAAATGATTTCAGTTTTCTTTAAAGACAAAGTAATACATGTACAGAAAAAAGATGGAGGAAATGAGTAAAAATGTCAATTATAGTTATAAATAGGTGATGCAGTTTAAAATGATTTGCATAGTTTCTCTATGCTTTTAAGTATTTTCAAAATGTTTTATAATGCATCTATTCTAGAGTTCTTTTTTTATATTGTTTTTTTTTAATTTTATTTAGTTACTTTTCAAGTACATTTTTTTTCTCTTCCCCCCCCCCCCCGGTCTCCCCCCTCCCTCCCATCCCCCCCCCCCAGTCCTCATCTCTGTGTCTTTCATACTTGTCCCTCAAAATCCCTCCCCCTTTTTCCCCTTAAAATCCCTTCCCTCTCCCCTCTGGTCGCTGCCCACTTGTTCTCTATTTCAGCGTCTTTGTTTTTATTCTGTTTGCTTGTTTGTTTTATTGTTTAGCTTCCTGTCAAAGGTGAGATCATATGGTATTTGTCCTTCAATGCCTGGCCTATTTCACTCATCATAATGCTTTCCAGTTCAAGTATGTATGCCTTTTATTATATGAATAGTTTTCTTCTATTCCTACAGTCAATGTCTTTTGTTAAAACCTTCACTACTTCGCGGTTCTATTCCCAGTCAGGGCACATGCCTGGGTTGCAGACCAGTTCCCTGCAGGCCAGTTCCCAGCAGGGGACGCACGAAAGGCAACCATACATTGATGTTTCTCTCCCTCTCTCCTTTCCTTCCCCTCTAAAGATAAATAAATAAAAATATTAAAAAAAAACCTTCACTACTTCCCTCTAGAGATTAATTATACCATGATATTGATTCAGCTGGCAAGAAAATAAAGTATTGTTCAGAGTGAGAAGTTTTTTAGATAGAAATCCTCAAGGCGTGTAGACATGAAAACTGGATTGGGCTATTCTTACTGCCTGATAATTTTTTTAAGAAAAGCTGAATGCTTTGCCACTTGTTGTAAACTTCCCTTGGCACCACAGAGGGACAAAGGTGGTAAGGTTGCCTTCCCCAAAGTCTATAAATGTTCACATAAGGAGTGAATCCTGATGTTTTGTGAAGTCATAAAACAAAGTTCTAGGAAAGGATCAATAAAGCTCATGAGAGAAAACTTGTACCTGATAATGAGGTTATGAGCCATATGCATGGGGAAGGGGATTTGTGTGCTGCTACTACAGAGAGGAGTGAGTGAACAGGTATGGGATCCCCCTGAGGTTATGTAGGCTTAGAGAGGAGGTGCAGGTTTCACTTTACGTACAATCACCTGAACTTAGACAATTTTCTTTCTGCAAATGTCAGGACCACACTCTGGTGACCTTTACATAGCTCACTGTGGACTGTGAGTGGTGGAGATCTCTGAGGAAGCAGCATGGCCCCATGTTTCAAGCCCATTCTCAATCAGTCATATTCTTTGTTTCTCCACAGAGTATTTGAAAGGGCCTGTCCTTCGAGCTAGCAGCTATGGAGTCATAGAGAATGAAGAGGATGTAGTCTTGACATGCTATACAAATGGACTCTCCATCCAGTGGCTGTTCAATGACATGAGTATAGATTTCACAAACAGAATGAAGCTGTCTTGGGACAGTAGAAGACTCACCATAGACCCAGTCAAGAGAGAAGATGCTGGGGTTTACAAGTGTAAAGCATGGAACCCCATCATGAGTGTTGAAAGCCAGCCCCTTGAACTGCATGTTCTGTATTAGTGACTCTTGTTTCTTCCTCTGTTATTAAACTCCAAGTTACTTTTCTTTGCATTATTATAATATATTTCTCTGCAGGCAAATAGTTCTTAAAAGATTTACATTAAGTCAAAAATAATAAAAATGTGAGCTGACATTGTAATTATTGTCAGCTTAAGGTCACATTTAAAATCAACTACTGTTTTGGTTTGGTCTCTTTGTACCAAGTCCTCAGTGGAGTTAATATTGTGTTCCTCAGAGAATGAGCAGTGGTTGTATGATAATCAATGGGAACAGGCAATGAGCTCACAGAATTTGCCACTTCTCCATAGAGGCACCTGGTCATGGTTGTAGATAATGGGAAAGGACAACAGGACACCCATGTGGGTAGCAACATTGATTTTAGTCTTTCTCTTAGAGGGCTTTCAAAAGATTTTTAAAGTCTCCAGTATTGTTATTTATATGTCAATGAAACTGTTTGATTAGTTTAGTAAATCTGTTCATTCTCTTAATAAGGTGTCATTGAAAACTTTGGTAATAAAGCTAGGACTTTATCTCAAATGTCCTAGTTAAGACCAATGTCCATAGAATTAGAAATGAACATAGTTTATGAAGCTCAGTTTGATCTCTTGGTCTTTGGTACTTCCTGGAGAAGAGTACAGCACTCAAAGCTAAAGAGACTATAGGTGAAGTGTGAGGGGTAAGTTACTTAACCTCAAGTAACAAAAGTCTCACCATGTGTTCTGTAGAAAAACCTTCATCAGAGCAAACCAAGTAGTGAAAGTCAGTTCTGCTCTTAGGTAACTAATCAGGTCAAACCAGGTGACTCCAGCTATGTTGTAGGATCAAGTACACACTTCTTCCTTAGGATTACATTTGATGAGAGGGGATGTTACTGTAGAGAAAAGTATAATGTCTAAATAGAAATCTCCAGAAGCACAGCCTTCTGGAAGATCAGATTCTCTCTCTGTTTAGGGACTCTCAGCTATTTTGCAACTGTTTATAAATACCTGGGAACTTGTGTCTCTTCATAAATTGCAATAACTGATGGAGATGAAAACTGGTTATTGGCTGAAAGAGATGTAGTTGTCTTTCCCTCCACTGTGCAAAAAGCAGTTTTGTTATGAACCAGAGGCCTTCATGTTCCTCAGAGTCACTGACCTTTATACAGCTTCTTCCAGACTGCAGGCTTCTGATATCAGACCTTCATACTTTTAGAGCATTTTCTTCAGAAATAGAATTGTAATTTGTAATTGATGAGTCTTTTATTGCCCATTTGAAATGTACATGAATCTTCTTAAAATCTTTTTGCTAATATTACAATTCAGAGTGTATCTGTCACAATGGCATATGCCCATGACTTTAAAGTTAATTCTCCTGGTGTCTGTGTCTCATCTCTCTGGGAGGGTAAAAGATTAACTTGTGTGAGGACCTTTAAAATAATGTGATAAAAAGACATACTGGGAAGATTTCATAAAATGTTTTACCTTTTTTTTTTTTTTGTAAACCAAATAGCAAACAGAGGTGTCTTTGAGTCTTTCTCTTGTTCTTAAAATTTTCTGAGTCTTCTTTTTCAATGGTGTTGCATTCTGGCTCACTATACTAACACATGGTCTTTAATAAAGTCTCCCCTGACTTTTTAAATTTGTGTGATGCATCTTTCACTCTGACATCACCTACTTGTAATTAGCAGATCTTTTTTTTTTATCTTTAGAGGGGAAGGGAAGGAGAGAGGGAGAGAAACATCAATGTATGGTTGCCTTTCGTGCGTCCCCTGCTGGGAACTGGCCTGCAGGGAACTGGTCTGCAACCCAGGCATGTGCCCTGACTGGGATTCGAACTGCGATTGTCTGGTTCGCAGGCCCACGCTCAATCCACTGAGCTACACCAGCCAGGCCCTAGCAGATCTTTTCATCTCTCTTATAGTGCTCATTCTTCCCTTATCTTCAAATCTTCTGATAAAAAAATTGCCTCCAATTTTTAAGTAACTTTATCCAAATGTCCTGCCTTCCTTCTGAATTGGTGTCCACAGCCAAAGATGACCTGACTGCCCAGATTTCTCTCAGGATGAGTTTGTCTTGAAGTGGCCTTTGTCTGAACCTCTGCATCTCTGCAGTATCCTACCTGTCAACAGTGTTTGCCTTGTACATACACTTTCACTCGCCTTCAAGAAAAAGCATACAGATGTTTGGAAACTATTCTGTCATGAACCCTAGAAAGTCTAGTAAACATTCAGGTCCTTGTGACATCAGTCCCCACAGGCCTGCACTGGGAGACTCTGTTTTGTTTCTCCTGTGACCTGGAACTCAGGGCACAAATCAGTGTCTTTTTCTTTGATTTCTCTGTTATGTTTACAAAATGCACATTTCTACCTTTAATGTCTACAATCAAAACTTGGGGAATGGGAAATAAATCTCTTTTCCAGTCCACTTTTTAATCCTACTTGGGTTCTCTTAGGCATTTGACTGAATTCTCGGGTCAGAGGTGGATTGTGGGTAGGAAGAGGTGTGCATACAGGGGGGTCAAAAAGAAATAGGACCCGCTCAGTGCCTTGATGGGAAAGTATAAAGCATATGGGTTTGAGATATTTGCCTTTATATGGATTAAAGAGGACATAAGAAGTGATGGAGGAGGATTTAATTAATTAAGGAATCTCAGGATGGGGCATAGGCATACAAGTAAGGGGCTGATCTAAGAGATGAGGGAGGGACCACTGGAGCTTGTGCAGTTAAGAGAGAGGAAGCCATTCTCCCAGACTAGGATGAGTAGGTGGGGAGAGAGACAGCATTGGCACAAAGAGTGAGATTTTGAAGACTCACATTAGTGTTCTATGATTAGCATAAGAGGGAAAACCAGATGTACTAGGCAATTAATGTCATGAAACAGGAGACATGGGTTAAGAGTCAAGGGAGAGATGAGATTATCATCCTGTTTGGGACTATGATTCTGAAGAGCAATGAAGGTTTGTAAGATTTGGAACAACAGGAGTACAAAAATTTTAATGAGGAAGGGAGTTGGAGGATGTGGTAGTCAGACTAGCAGAGTGTTTGCAATGGAGCCTGGTATGAAGTTGGGGAATGCAGGGAAGGCTTGAAGATGAAGACACAATTGAAGGTCAATTATGTCTATTCTCTATTTTATCTCTATTTTATTGTATAGTGGAAACACGTGGAGCAGGCACTCAAAGTGTCATCTGAGGGTTACTACTGTTTACACATGGCTTTGGAGAGCTTTGAATAACTAAAACTCAATCCCATATTATGAAAGATGCCTCAGCTGAGTGAACAAGTTAGCCATGTTTTAGGGGATTTGTGTGTTAGTAGGTTGACTAGGTGCCTGAAGAGAGGCAAAAATTTGGCAAATGGTGTGTGCAGTTGGAAGGGGGAATTGAGGGCCAGAATGAATTCGGAGTTGGGATGTTGACTTCCTTCTTGAAAGCGACAGTAAAATTTCTGTGATTTCATGGTGAAAGCTATGTGACAGGCCCCTTGCTGAAACAGTAGGTGCTAAAGTTCGAAGCCACCTGCCCTTGTCTAATGCACATCTATCACTTCTGTTTGTGATGAATGCTGCTCTTCCTACTTGACCTTAACACCCGTGCATGAAATAGAAGCCAAATCTGAGTAAGTCTGGCTATCTTGTCACATTACAGCCCATATTTACACAATCTGACTCCTCTGAGATTTAAAAGCCAGTCAGAAGTTATTGCAATATTTCTGTAGAATGCATAGCCTTGCCCTGAAGCCTAGAATTCTTAATGCTATTTTCTTCTTAGATCAAACCAGATGGTCCATAAAGCACCTTTCATTCTTCCAACATTAACCAAATGGAGGTAGAAGCACAACATGTCTTTTACTCAGGAGGGTATGTCCAGCATAACCCAGACTGTGTTGCAGATCCCTGACTGGATCTGATGTGGATGTAATGCTTTCATAGACTGCCCATTCTTTCAACTGATGTTTTCCCTGGTGTCACTGGTATCACTAATGTCATTGTCTGAGAAATATCAACATTAGTAGGCATACACTTCCACCCTTAAGAGCCCATGTGTCTACTGAGGCATTGAAAGAAATTGCCCTTTTGATAATTTCTAGCAAGAAAGCCTATAGTTCAAACCATTAAGGATTACATTAGCAGTAAGTCTGTGTGGATTTTGTGACTTGAATTTCGTGTGAAATTGACTTGGAGGATGAACACATTCATTTGCCTTGCTGGAGAGGTTAAGCTTCATCGGTTCACACTCTGTGCAGTCACTAGGACTGCTGGTAGGTTTAATATTCTGCCTTCATCATCCTGAAAAGTTAATTGACTTTTCAACAAGGACCCTCACATTCACTTGACATTGACTTTTTCTGGTGTGACTCCTAGGCATGGCCTGGGCTTGGAAAAAAAACAAAACAGTTTGACCCTATAGGTAGTAGCCATTTTAGTTGTGGTCACCAGAAGGCAGCACCTGAGCAAAGTAAATGGGGGTAGGTATGAAGAAATTGGAGGACTTTTGAGCTTTATCTGTGCTATTTGTGTCACTGCAAGTGTCTAAGGAGCAGAACTTATTTCACCCTCACCTCTCCAGCTCACAGAAGGTAAGCTCTTCATCTCTGATGTACTTCAAGATTCAAATTTAAAGAAAACTTAGTCAATGGCTCAAATGTAAATAGAATTAAACAGACACAATAACGTTGTTCTATATATCATTCTTTCAAAAATGCTAGAAAGCTAAGAAGAGAGGTTTGGCGTGTAAGTGTGCACATCCATGTGTGTTTGATGGTGATATGAAGCAAAGTAGCTGAGCATTTTTCAAGGAGGATCTTGTATACATAAAGAATAAAAGTGAAAATTGTTGAGCACCCTGAGAGAATGCAATGTAGAGAAGACTTCAGTTCTCCCCAGAGTGATTTCTTAGTTTGGGACAGATGTTCTCAGAGTGTCCCAGAGAAGAGAGAGCCGTCCTGTGATCACTTTGAACAGCACACTGAGATACAGAAATTACCACAGGGATGTCCAGTGATGTCATAAATGCAAGA